GTCTGCCCACAATCTTGTAAACCACTGCTTGAGGGGAGAAGTTCTGTTTCTCGCTTTACAGAAAATGTACCCCGACACTGGAATCTCCCAGTATTCCTACAAGTGCGGGGGGCCATTACCCTCCATTTCCTGTGGAGGGAAACGAACAAACTGGAAGGCAAGAGCTGAAATGCCTTCTGGCCTAGGGACGTGCAAATAGAAGGGAACTGAAGACCTGGCCGGCCTACCACCGAGAACGCATGACCTCCTGCGTCCCTTCCAGTAACAACTCAGACACTTTTTCAAGTGTCTAGGTGTCCTTCCCCTTAGTAAGGAACTGGCCACACAGGAGGGACAAGGCCTCGCCCTTCAAATAGCGCTGGGGACCGAACATCAGATGAAGATGAGCAAGCAAAAATCAAAAACGCCCTAAGAGGCGCGCAGGGTGCTCCGGGGACAGGGGAAGGAGGTGACTGCAGTGTGGGGGCCAAAAGGAGAAATCCAGGAGACTTCCCCAGAGCACCTTGACTGCTTGTTCAGACGAAAATGCAAAGCTTAATTAAATGAAGTAAACAGTTTGTAGGCAGGCATCGATTACCCACTAAACAAGGTAAGCTTGTGCTTAGGGCGTCAACAAAACAGGGGCACCATTAGTCAAAAGCAAAGACCCATGGATTCCAAGCAGACTAGACACAAGGAAAGGGGGGCATCACCGTGGAAGAGAACTGATAGGAAATCAATGTCAGCTCCCTGGTCTCTTAGGAGTCTACTCTTATAAACGAGAGGTGTCCAATCTAACTCTGATTACATGCACCCATTATGCGCAGTGACGGGCGAAGACAGACCATATGAATAGATAACAATCCGTTTCACCGACTCATTTTCTTTGTTGTAGACTAGACAGAGTATTCTTTTGGTAGGCAGTGTGTACAGGACAGTCTTAGGACTCCGCCTGCATCCAGTGAAAAGCGTATACGGAGTCCAGTCCGGCTCATTCCGTTGAACTGGCACGCACCACTTCTAAAGAAGTTCCACCCTTGATATCCAAGACGCATACTCACCTCGCGTATCCCGTTTGATGCGAGAGTAAGCAGAGAGGGGGCGTCGGAGACTGTAGGGCCCTCCCATAGCTTAACCGGACTCGGCTGCAGATACCAGGTGGAAATTGAGAGGATGACGATTAACCGAACGATTCGATTTCTTTGGTCTCTTTCCACATGCAGACACGCCCCCATATGCGTACCCGGCATGAAGACTGTGACCCACGCTACACCACGCTCCAAGACACGGTTTCATTGATTTGTCATTAGAAATAAATACTTCACAATATGTAATTACATGTTGTTTTGTGATTCAGCACTATGCTTTCATTATGTTCAATTTGTAACAATGAAAATACATCCTGCCTATCAGATATTTACATGAAAATTCATCACAGTAACAAAATTACAGTTATGAAGTAGCAACAAAAATGATTTTATGGTTGGGGGGTCACCACCACATGAGGAACTGTATGAAAGGGTCACGGCATGAGGAAGGTTGAGAACCACTGCTTTCGAGAGAGGATTCCGGATTCCGACCAGAAATCTTGATCATCTTTTTTTTTTTTTAATCATTTTATTAGGGGCTCATACAACTCTTATCACAATCCATACATACATCAATTGTGTAAAGCACATTTGTACATTCATTGCCCTCGTCATTCTCAAAACATTTGCTCTCCACTTAAGCCCCTGGCATCATCAGCTCCTCTTTTTTTCCCCTCCCTGCCTGCTATCCCCTCCCTCACGAACTCTTGATAATTTATAAATTATTATTTTGTCATATCTTTCCCTGTCCGACATCTCCCTTCACCCACTTGTCTGTTGTCCGTCCCCCAGGGAGGAGGTCACATGTAGATCCTTGTAGTTGGTTCCCTCTTTCCAACCTACCCTCCCTCCACCCTCCCGGTATCGCCACTCTCACCACTGGTCCTGAAGGGATCATCTGTCCTGGATTCCCTGTGTTTCCAGTTCCTGTCTGTACCAGTGTACATCCTCTGGTCTAGCCAGATTTGTAAGCTAAAATTGGGATCATGGTAGTGGGGGAAGAGGAAGCATTTAGGAACTAGAGGAAAGTTGTATGTTTCATAGTTGCTACATCACCCCCTGACTGGTTCATCTCCTCCCCAGACCCTTCTGTAAGGGAATGTCCAGTGGCCTACAAATGGGCTTTGGGTCTCCACTCCACACTCCACCCCCCATTAATCTTGATCATCTTGAGTCTCCTCCCGTTCTAGTGACGACGTTTGTTGTAAAGGATGGTGGGGGCTGGGCAGAGGGACTGACTTTGGGAATCTTCCTCCCGGACCTCTAACCATCGATGCCATCTGGAGACTGGACTCTGTCCTCATTGTCCGTAACTCTCTTCCAGGATTTCAGAGGACGCATGCACCAGTAAATGAGGATGTCCTGAGGACTTCCTGTTTCAAGTTGTATCAAATAAGCTTTCTTGCAGATATCAGAAGAAAGGGAAAGGAGAGGCTTTCTGAAAGCGGCCTGCTCACAATGAATCACGTTTTCCCTCCTGCTTTTCCAGGTGAACACACACAAGAAACCAATTCACCTCATTCGCTCAAAAAGGATGTAGAAAATATGGGGAAAGGTAAAGAAAAGTTTTCATTTTGTGGACCTCCTCTTAGTTTTAAAAGACTATGGAGATAATAGGAGGATATTTTTGTTCTGCACTATATTTTAAGCTTGACAAGCAACATATGAATAATATATGGACCATTGGGTGGATATAATTGAGATTAATGCATACATATCAATCAATACATGACACTGTAATATAATACTTTAAAATAATATATTACATTGATTTATATTCATGGATTTATGCACAAAAATCTATCCTATGTCTATGCAAGACTTTTTAAACTGGTAAAATATTTTGTCTTATAATAATAAATTGCCATATATAACAGTTCTCTGGAGAGTTATTTGTAAAGATTAGTAAAACGACTCTTCTTTTTTTTCCCCTTTCCTATTAGAAGAACTTCAGAAGGTTTTATTTGAACAAATAGATTTACGGAGACGACTAGAACAAGAATTCCAAGTATTAAAAGGAAACACAACGTTCCCAGTGTTCAGTAAGAAGTCATTTCTATTTCATTGCATGTGTGATCTTGGATGACATTGCTCTTACTAGGCTGAAGAACAGGAGTCTATTAGTCTGTTAAGCGTCGTCCAAAGCTCCACAGTCTTTTCCATGGTTCTGTCTAAATCTTCAAAACTTTCAGTCTCTCTTATTTGGGGCAGTGGGTTATGTGTTGGGCTGTTAACTGCAAATTCAGAAGTTCAAACCCGTAGGCTGTTTGTTGGGAGCAAAATGAGACTTTCTACTACTGGAAAGATTTATAGGCTCAGGAACCCAATGGGGCAGTTTATTCTGTCGCCGAGCATCACTGTGAGTCAGAATTGACTCAGTGATAGTGAGGTATGTTTTTGTTTGTTTGTTTGTTTGTTTGTTTGTTTGTTTGGAGGGGGGAGGATATTTCTGTTTTGAATTCATTCACAGACAACATTTATTAAAAGACCATTTTGGTGTTGATATTTTGGTAGATGCATGCTTGTGTGTGTTTTAAAATATTGATGTAAATATACAATGAGATTTGTGAATATATTTATATAGGGATTTAGATTGTATATATGGAAAGCAAAAGAATGTCTCAAGGGTTTTTATTCTCTCAGGGCAGAAAAAGAAGAGAACATTTAACTTATTCTCAGGTAGCACTAAAGAGCCGCTTGCCGCTTGAGATACGCATAAGAAGTTTTAAGTTTTCGTAATTCAGTGTACACAGATCTGCTTAATTCGTCGAGATGGCTGTCTAATTTTGATAGTCTTGTTGTTTTTAATTACCCTTCATCTTTAATGTTAAAAATTCTATCTCACATCTGGAAGCAGGAGTTACTGCAGCCTCAAGACTATCAATTCTAAGCCCAGACTTTCAGACTTGCAGAACGATTTTGTGGTAGGCACCCAGGTTTATAAAGCCCTGTTGGCACCGTGGTGAAGTGCTTGGCAGTTTAAACCCAGCAGCTGCTCCCCGTGAGAGAGAGGAGGCCGCTTTACAATCCTGGATACCCCCTGAGGCAGTTCTGCTCCGTCCCACGCGGCTGAACCAGCTGGAATCGGGTGTGTTAGGTGGGCTAGATGCCGTGCCCTGGTCTGAGCCCCACTGGACAGCTGCATCCCAGTGGCGGCTTCCCAGGGTTTTGGAATTCCATTTAGCACCATTCTCAGAGAAATGAGAGAGGGAAAGAAAATCGTCTTTTAAGCTGATACTTTAAATTATGTACATCACGTAAATTTTCCCCCTGGAGCATTCTTCCAATGTCAACATGGCCCTTGTTATGGACCCAGGGCATCATAAAACTCAAGTTGACAATTCCCATTGTAGCATTAGCATCAGGGCCCGGCATCCAGCAGGTTCTCCAGTCATTGTGACAATTTTAATAACCCGAGCCAGGCTTCTCACATGGCATGTTCAGCACAAGTGAGGGGTGTTTGGGGACAGCATACGTTCCTGGTAATGTGTCACACTGAATTCCACTTGGCTGAGGTGAAAAGGCAAGAGAGAACTGCATGGCGGGAGAGAGTTCTGGTCACCAGGAGCATTATAGGGTCTGCCAACTGTTTGGCCTCACCCTCCCCACCAGGATGCTTGAAACTCACCGTTGTCTGTATTTTGAATGCAGAGACTGCCTGCTAGAACTTAGAATTAAGATTGAAGGGAAGCGAATGGCCCGTAGCTTTTGATGGCATTTGAGAAGAGAGCCGTCCACAATGAAACAGGTTGTTCCCAAGGACTCAGGAGACCTAGCTCTCTTAAGAGAAACAGCACAATTCATTGCAGCTACAAAGCAGAAAACATGTACTGATTTGCTTCGCCATCACCTAATGTCTTATCTACTGGTTGGGTTTGCAAATCCCAGCTTTTAGACTCAGCAGGGTAAGCCCAGGAGGCTTTGCCTCTGTAAAGTGCTCACCTAACTCCCGAGGAAACCAGTGTAGCCCGAATTTATTCCTCTTTATTCCCCATCCCCGCCCCCCCCTCTTCCTCCTGCCCCAGAGTCAGGGCTGACTCCTGATGACCTTGTACACAGCAGTGTGAGGGGTTGGCAGGCCTGGCCTGAGGTCAGTCATTGACTTGTAGTTGCCACCATCTCACCATGTCTGTCCCTCTGTGTCTGTCCCTTTGCGGGTGGCTTCCCTGGCTTTTGTACCCCTCAGTTTTACAAGCACAACGTCTTTTTCTAGAGATGGGTCTTTTCTTGATGGGGAGTCCTGAAATCTCACCAGCCTTGCTTTGAAGCAGCATTCTGGTTAGATTCCTTCCAAGCTTGGTGTGTCTGCGCTCCCGGCAGTCCCAGGGCCATTCGGTCCGTGTTTGCCATGTCACGATTTCAGAGCACCCATTTTTCTCCTCCTTCCATCTTCATGGTCCAGCCTTTGTGTGCACGTGAGGCCACAGAAGAAGAAGATGATTTATCCGAGCAAATAAAAGCAAGTTCAGAATCATTTTTTTTTGAGGAAGTAAGTAATCGGTAGTCACGTGTACGTTTTCTGGATTCACCGCTCCATCAGCAGACAAAGCGTACAACATGCTGCTGCTGACAGTAAAACAAGACAGAGCGTGTCACAGCCCAACGAGCCAGTTTCTGCTCAGATCCGCCGGTCGTCCTCTGGACGGAATGAAAGGAATCCTCCTCTAGTTGTTGCTGCTACCTCCATGAAACAGTTCTTCAGCACCAACACCTGCAACACAGATTTCCTCTTTTGCTTTTTTTTTCATCTGCACTGCCCTCCGCTGACCAAGGAAGTGGCGGGCGTGTGCCCGCGTGTGAATCCTGCATGGTCTCCACACACTGCCCAAGAAGCGGTCAACCTCACACAGCTGCAAACAGCGAATGCCCGTCATCAGGTGCTTGGTAACTCACCCGGATTTAGAGTCCCTCCAAGGGAAAAGGGGAAGCCACACCTGCAGGAAGCACAGTCAGTCAGTCCTCTCCAGAGCTGGGCAGAGGGTTTACTAAGCCAGAGTACCCCGGAGAGCCGCTCCCAGCTTACTTAGCGCGCTGGTGACCTGCCCGAGAAGCGATAGTGTGCGACAGGAACCCAGGCTCACAAACTGACCAGCATTCACTCTGGGGGCTCTGTCTGTACTAGGGGCCTAGCTTGGAACCTGCACAATGGCGCAGGCGGACCCTTCCTGGAGGACGGACGATGTGACGATGGAACAAGGTGATCATATGCTGTCCTCGTCCGAGACTCCGCGCTCCATAAATGCCGACGGCGCTGACAGGAGAAGCAGGAGGCAACAACAACGAGCAGAAGCACCTCCCTGCCATCGAGTCCACGCTGGCTCTCCGGGACCTGTGGAGCAGAGTAGAACTGCCCCTGTTTGCTTCTGAAACTGGAACTCTTTTTTTTTTTTAATTTAAATCATTTTATTGGGGGCTCGTACAACTCTTATTACAATCCCTACATACATCAATTGTGTAAAGCACATTTGTAGAGTCATTGCCCTCGTCATTCTCAGAATATTTGCTGTGAAACTGGAACTCTCGATGAGAGTAGAGACTCTTGTCTTCCTTCCACGGAGCAGCTGGTGGGTTCAAACTGCTGACCTTGCAGTTAACAGCCCATCATGTAACCACTTCGTCACCAGGACTCCCAAGCAGGAGCAGGAAGGCTTACCCGTGTTGAGCTCCAGAAAAGCCTTTCTAGAATTGGGGCCACCACCGTCCTGCAGTTTATCTTAGACTCTTGCCCCAGTGCTGCTGGTTGCTGGGGCCCACAGGAATGAATCGGAGGCAACGAGATAGAAACCAGACCGTGGGCGTCGGCCCGATTCTGGCCATGGAAACTGGGTGTGTCTGTCAGAGTAGACCTGCCCTCCAGAGGCCTTTCGAGGCCATCAGCTTTGGGAAGCAAATTGCCAGGCCTCTCTTTGGAAGCACCTCTGGGTGGATCAGGAACTGCCAAGCGTTTGGCTCGTAGTAGTCCTAACCGTAGCAGTCCTAACCGGTCTCCTCACCCCGGGGCCCTGCGGGGAGGGTGGTGGTCGTTAGTTGGGCTTGAGTCATTCAACCATGGTGCCCCGCCCCCGCCTGTATTTCAGGGTAACACAGCCCTCCTTGGGGTTTCCAAGGCTGTGACCTTTCAGAAGCAGATCACCCGGCCTTACTTCCGAACCCCCTTATTTGGAAACCCCCTGGCCCTGGGGTTAGACGTGTAGAGCGTAACCATCTTGCAGGCCAGGGAGTCCAGGGAGGGGCAAGGATGAAGACCGGAGGAAGCAGACACAGGTCTCCCCGCTGGCTGGCACAGCCGCCCCGGAACAGCTCACCATCACAAACACTCACTTGGTGGCTGCAGCCCGGGCACGTGGCCTTGCTGGCGAGTCTGAGATAACAGAGCACTTTACAGATGAGAGGCGAAGGGGGCTCACTCCACGGAGTCTAAACGCTGGGATTTGTAAACCCAGCGATAAGCTCAACAGTAGGTTATGAAGTAGGAAACCGTTTACGGTTTTAAAACCACCGCACACAAATGGGCATTTGCCCTGAGGACGCAGGCAGCGAAGCATGGTGGGTAAGAGCAAGGGCCCCGGGTTGGACACCGCTCCCCAGCCCACCGCTCAGGAGGCTTAGGCGAGTCCCCTGACCTCTTCCTCAAGTGGAAGGCAGTACTGGTGCCTACTGCTGGGGATGGGGTGGGGGCTGCCAAGGGACTGGATGGATGAGAGAAGTGTGTGTTTAGCATAGTGTCTGACACATAGTAATTAACAATAAATGTGAGTTGTTGCCTCTATATACCATTTGAAAGTGAAACTTACATTCCTAAAGGGCCTTTATAGCAAACCAGCTGACAGCAGAAGCCAGAACGCCGAGAGATTTATTGGGCTCTAGTCACAGAGAGTGGATCCGGCAGTGACACTGGGTTTGCTACTAAGCAACACGGTTTATTGACAAACTGGGGCTGGCACGAGGAGAGCGCTTTCATAAGGCAGGGGGCGTGGGGAGATGACACCTTGGATTGGGCGGAATAGGTCTTTAGGGGAATGGATGAAGGGGGGCTTTATCC